CGGGAAAACCGTGCAAACCCTTATCTGTGCAAACCCTAACTCGTGCAAAAATGTCAATCCGTGCAACCCTCAACCTGTGCAAGCCCTCAGCCCCGCAGCAGAGGTGAGGGAGCACTGCCAGCCCTCCTTGCTTTCTGGGGCTCCGCTTTGCCCAGCCGCAAAGGCAAAGGCCAGAGAGGAGCTAACGGTTCCCTGCAGAGGCCCAGCAGCCTCCCCGAGCCCAGCACAGGAGCTCACAGGATTTTGGGGTGGATTTTGCAGTGCTGCTGCAGCCGAGAAAGTACACACCTGGTCAGATAAGGATCAGACTGTGCTGGGGGAGTAAATTAAACAGCTTTTCTTTTCGTGCCAGCGTATCTAACGAACAGTTAATCTCCCATGGGCAATTCTGCCATCTCAAACTGCAGTCATAAAGTGGCAAGCTTGGCAGAGCTGACTGCGCTGGCTTCACCCTCCAAAACTCCAGAGAGAGCTAATGAGGCCGCAAAGCTAGCAAGAACTCTCGTGATCTCAGGCCCATGTTGGTGGAGAGCATTGCTCAGGCAAGGTGCACCTCCTAGAGTTGCAGTTTGGTTCATGTTCAGACTCATGCTGTTTCTGTTAAAAGAAAGGTGCGGGGTGGTCCTAATCTCTTCCATCCAAGCCCCAGTTGAGTTTGTTGTTCCTTTCTGCAGTGCTAATGAGATATTGCAGCAACAGAGATCTGAGGAGCTGGAGCGGCTGCTTGAAAGCGCCCTTGATCTCGGCCAGGCTGGCTCCCTGGGCCCTTCCCACCCACGTGCCCGTGGCTCGTCTGGCCGTGCCATGGGGGGGACCCGGGGGCGGGGGTCACTGACTGCCCCGTGCCATCCTGGCAGCACCCGTGCGTTTGCTTTCTGTGTCCTCTGCTTCTCGTCTGCTTCTGCCACGTCAGAGTGCCATCTCGTGAGACACGCCACTCCGGCTGCCCTGGCGTCCCCGGCATCCCCGGCATCCCCGGCGCGGCTCATCCGCTCTCTGTTGCAGGTTCACTCACCCGCTGATGCTGGGCTCTGGCATGCATACCACCGGCATCCCGCACCCCGCCATCGTGCCCCACTCCGGCAAGCAAGAGATGGAGCACTATGACCGAAATATGTAAGTTCAAGAGCTGGCAGGGCTCCTCGGCAGTGTTAAATTAAATAAATTCATGTGCATTTAATTTATCCCTATTAATGCTAGCACGGGGTGGGGTGGGATGGATGGACACTGAGCTCTGCCTGCATCAGGCAATGGGGTGCATTCAAGGGGCAGATCTCGGGCCCCCCACCTGCTTGTGCCATTGAGTGGGTTTGGTGTCGAGTCTTCTGCTGAGCCTGGTGCCACCAGGCAGCCAGGCTGGAGGGTGGCTGTGATGCTGACAGCTCCTCTTTCGGTCCCACCAAGGAAACCTCAGCCAGAACCAAAGAGAGAGAAGGAAGCCAAGAAGCCCACTATCAAGAAGCCCCTGAATGCTTTCATGTTGTATATGAAAGAAATGCGGGCGAAAGTCATCGCCGAATGCACCCTGAAGGAGAGCGCCGCCATCAACCAGATCTTGGGAAGAAGGGTAAGAGCGTGGGGGGCTCAGTGCCATTGTCCCAGTGCAGCATCTCCATCCCTTCCAGCTGCTTTTAAGCATGTAACAAGCTTCTGCTTTCAAAACCGCGTGTTCTCATCCTTAAACACTCAGGGTCAGGCGTGCCCGGGAGCGGGCGGCTGCAATGGGATGGGCTGGGAGGGGACGGCGGGGCTGGGTCTCACCCCCGTGCTTGTCCTTGCAGTGGCACGCGCTGTCCCGGGAGGAGCAGGCCAAATACTACGAACTGGCGCGCAAGGAACGGCAGCTCCACATGCAGCTGTACCCCGGCTGGTCTGCCAGAGACAACTACGTGAGTGGCTGCGCGGCTCGGACCCCCTCCCCAGGGCACGGCCAGAAACGACCCAGGGGGGCTGAAAACTGGCGTGTGCCAAGCACCCCGCCTGTCCCTGGTAACTGCGTTCCTGATGGCACAATAGCTCTAGAAACTCACATTTCAAGAATATTTTGAGTATTCTCTTGGCTGTTCCTCATTGCGTATGTGTGGCATGAATGTTGCAACTCATGTGCACCGTTTCCTCACTTACTGTCCAAGTAAAAATACAAGCAGAAAGGAAGAGGAACTTTTAAAGTGATGTGGATGATCTTTGGAAATATAACTTTATGGAAACCCACCACTTTGAGCATCTTGGACAGCAGCTGAGACTGGCACAACGTGCCTGCCCAAGCCACACTCATGACAGCGTAATAATAATGGGAAATAATGGTTAAAAAGGTGAAAGAGGAAAGTATAAGCTGCTTTTTGTGAGTTGTAGTGCACACCTTGGTCTCTCAGGCTCTTCAGGTCCGATTTCAGACTCTCTATGGGGCTGCACCACAAGCAGGAGCCCCGTGTATTGTGGCACACGTAAGTGGTGCTCACAGGATGGCAGATAGGGAAATTCTGTCTGTCCCTCGGGGCCGTTGATCCCACCCTGATCCATCTTTATTTGAAGACCCTGACCAAATCAAGCACATTCAAAGTATAGAAGCGCAATTTGAGCATATGCAGACAACAGCACTGCTCGCTCTGTGAGCTCAACCCAGCTCTTCTCTTTGGTGATCCATTTACCAACCAAAGTTGATGATAGGGTTAAAAAAACCCCTTCCCAGATTGAAAAGAAGAATAAGAAAAAAATAAAGTCCCCAAACCAGGCAGTGGCTGCTGAGCGGCGCAGCCAAGCCATGCAGCAAAGAGCAGTGGTTCTCAGCAATAAAAACTAACTGGTGCAGAGGGCCCTGAAATGTGCTGGGCATTGAGACGTGCATTCCCATAGCCAGAAGAGCTTTCCCTGTGTGTGAGGGAACGAAGGAAAGCACCAGTGTTGATCCTCCTCAGGTTTGGCCGTAGCGAGGTACGCTGCCACGGCAGTTGATGCTAAACCAATCCCCAAGGTGTAAGCAGAGAAAAAACTGGGGATTGGTTTTTATAGAGAGACTCTGCATCTAAAATAGTGGCTCTTTTTGGAGGGGGCTGCAGTGGGCCCAGGGTTCCCTGGAGAGAAGCAGCGGCAGCTCCTGGGCTGGCTGGGGGGACCAAGCTGCCTCACAGATCACGGTGGTAGGGCTGGCACTTGGGAAGCCTCCAGGCTTCTCCGTGGCACCCTTAAGGCTACTCTTAAAAAAAAAATCATTTCCTCTTGGCTATATTAATCATTTCAGTAGCACCACGTTAAACAAGGTCGCGTAGGTGGAGCAGTGCCCCAGAAGCATGGGATACACTCCGGGTCTTTTCTGGTTTTTCTATTTTGATCTTACATGCCTAATGAGCTCATTAGAGACCTGAAGCAAAGCCCACGTTAAGTCTTCAGATGTCCTCAGATGTCCATCCATCCACTTGAGGGCTCTGCCCTTTGATCCCAGGCTCCATCATTTCCCTTGAGACCCACACAGCGAGCACCCATCCAGCCCACCCTGACCGGAGCCCTCCTTCCAGAAAGCCCAAAATCCACCAAAGGCAACAAAACACCCTTAAACAGACAGAAAAAAAAATCCTAAAAAGCTAAAAAACAGAGGACAGAGATGCTGTAGAGAAGGCAGAGGTGATGGGAAGCCCCCAGCCTGCATTTCCCTGCAGCAGCACAGAGCAGGAGCTCAGCATCCATGTGCAGCTTTTTCACGATCAGTGCTGGATGCTGTCGCCCTCTGGAGCCACCCTTAGGGAAACCGGGGCAACACCAAAGGTGCTGCTCTAAGGGCGGCTCTGGAGGGCGACAGCATCGGTGGGTGCACATCTGGAGGGCAGTAGCATCTGGAGAGCAAGGCATCATCTTCCTCCAAGACCAAGTGCGTCCTCCATGGAAATCTCAATCCTGTAGCATCCTTCATCTTGGCCAAGGCTGTTTCCTTTCCTTTCCTTTCCTTTCCTTTCCTTTTCCCAAACTGGCTAGTGGGATCCGAAGGTGCACGTCGGCTCTCCCAGCAGCTGCTTCGGGTCTTGTGGTGGTTGCAAGAGATGCTTTTCTCTCCAGAGCTGGAGCAGGGAGGCGGAGGACGAGGAGGAGGAATGTAGGTCATTTCTGCAGCACGTGATGCGGATATCAGGCAGGAAATAGAGTTGCTCCCACACTGAAGAAAGAGCTTACCGCAGCTCGGAGCTTTCCACCTTCACTCAAACCACAAGAAGTCATATAAAAAGTCACGGGTTAAAGGCAGTCCTGCGAGCCGCCTGCTCCATGCAGGCCAGATTTGCTCCTGCGCAGCCGTGGCCTCGTTAATAAGCTCATTAGGAGACAAGGGGAGTTGTGCGTTGTGAGTCAAGAGAGGCAGTTTGGAGATAAAATTGGGTTTTCTTGATAGTGAGGGGAGAAAGCAGAAGAATGAGAGATGGGTCCAAAGCTACAAAAGCACTGACATAGAGAAGCATTATTTTAAATAAATCTCTGGGAATTTCTGAAAACTTACTTTCCTGATTGAAATCAGGGATGCTCCTCCTGGTAACGCATTACGGAGCAATTTCTGTTCAGGTATAAGGTACCACATTAAAGCATGTGTTGGAAATAGGGAAGGTGCTAAAATGGGCCAAGTGCTTTCTAGAAACATAAAGAGAGAGGAGCAATAGAAACATACCAGGAGGGTCTGCTGTTGATCAGACTGCCTCTACTGCATGCAGTAAATCTTCTTTCATTCTACTAATCTAGTTAAATCTACTAATTAAGCTATCAGTCAATTCATTAAAGTGATAATGGGTGAGATTTCCAGGTGAGACACATCAGGGTGGGCTGGGGAGGACTGGCAGGAGTTGGTAGAGGTGCTGAGCAGCGCAGGGTCAGGCGCTGGGTTTATTGTAGCTGCTTTGCATCCACTGATGTTTTCTCTCGCACCTTCTTACGCAGACTGTGGTGTAAATCAGGGTCTCGGTAGCGTGGTCATAGACTCATAAAGCAGAGCAGAGGGCAGCGAGTTGGGAAGAGGATGCAGCAGATGCAGGAGGTGGTAGCAGGGATGCGGCTGCCGTCTCCTCTGAGTTTCTGTGGCTGTTTCTCCGCACACATGGATCCTGTGCAGAGGGGTTTTGGGATGAGTCAAAATGCCCATAGTGCTGGGTGCTGGGGTAGTGGAAATCAGGGGGTGTTCCTGAGAAAAGGTACATGCCCAGAACACGTTTGTGCCATGTAAAACACGGCCATCAGGATGGACACAAACACAAATTTGGGTGCTTGCTTTGAGATTTGGGTTTCTCCTCAGGAGCGCTGTGCTGGGCAGTCGGGGAAAGGAAAGGGATACCCACATAGATAAACCCAAGCAGGTCCCCTGCAGTAATTCCCAGTTCAGCCCTCCCTGCAATGGGCAGAGCTGGTGGCGCCGTGGCTGATGCAGCTGAGGACCTGCCTGGGCAGCAGCAGCCTTCCCCAAGGCCCCATCCAGCCCTGAAAACCCGGCACAGCACAGGCGCTAACGGCCTTTCCTTTGGTTTCCCAGGGGAAAAAGAAGAGACGAACACGGGAAAAGCAGCAAGATTCCAACTCAGGTAAATACCTGCGGCTCAGTCGCTGCCCCTTCGTTTCTGCTCAGAGGGGATGATCTGAAGGCAAAGCTGTTGCCATGTTTTACTGTGATTTCTTTTATTGTCCTGAGCTTAATGAAAGAAGTATGTGTGGTGTTTTAAGACACGGTAAATTAACCTATCTGTGACTTTTTAATAGACGTGTTTATTTAGAACATGGGTAGTTCATGAAAACTGATAACACTAGATTTTGTTAGTGTGTAACTTCAAACAAATTACCACTAAACTTTATGTATTCAAAACATCCAGGGTGACTGTCCCCATCAACCCTACAGATACCGTTAATCAGAGAGAACTCCTCTCCAGTGCATCAGTATTGCGTGTGCAACTAAATGCAGTGACAGGATTGGAGCTCACCCATGGAACTACCCCAGATTTGGTTTTCATTCCAAAGTAACCTAGAGTTCAAGCAAAGCCCTACCAAAAATCAGTACCAGCTGACTCTCTGCACCACACTGTTTAATAGAAAAGGCCCTTTTCACAGATTCCAGCTGGTGACACACACATTCCCATCATCCAGGGCTATTCCTGTGCTGGTTTCTGAAGTATTTCGGCTATATCAGGAATAAATAATATCTCTACCACAAAATATTTATTATAAAACATCACGAGACCATCCTTGCCCACTATGGCATCAAGTATACTTGAAGTTAGTTTATTCCAGTGTCCATTCCGTGGTTGCCTATAGACTTACAAAGAGCTTTTCCCAGTCTCCAGTGTAACCGGTTCATTACTGTTCATCATTCATGATGAAATTAAGACAGCCAGATGATAGGCTTTTGGTGTTTGAAGCAGAACCCTAGTTCCCTCTCCCTCTTGAAATGCTCCCTGGAGGGTGCCAGTGCAGGCTGTTGCTGTCCTGGCCTTGCAGAGCCATGCAGAGACCATCACACCTGCGCTGGGGACCCCACGGGGCACAGCTGGCTGCATCTGGGTGGTTCGGATGCTGGCTGGGACGCGGGAGTCCAGCTCCGGTGGTGTTGCTGTGGATTACACATCCGTGCAACCAGAATCCTACAGTCTGCATTAATTAGTAAAGTTCAGAGTATCTCATTAATTTAATGAATCACCATTGATGATCTCCTTGAGTTGTCCAAAAAAAGCAGTTCCATGACAGTGTCCCAGTAATATCTCCAGTTTAGTTAACACTGTTGATCTCGTTCAGTGCCTAGACTGATCAGGAAGGGGAATGCAAGCTTTTAGGCTTATAGGTAATGTATCTAGATATTTATATTTCCATATGTGTGATAATTTCACCCATTACGGACTGAAAACCAACTGCTGGTCATAGACAACAGGAGACACTGATGGTGGCTGAAAGAGGGAGTGTGAATCCAGCACAGAAATGTGCTTTTCAAATCCCATTTACAGCACCAGAGAAAAAACACTATGTGCCCAAAAGCAAATAGGGCCTCACCTTCATCAGTTCCATAATCATACAGTAAAACCGCAACATTTTAGGAAAGAATAGCTTTTCCATTAAAACTGGAAGGGGAATGGTGAGGGCCAGACTCGGTCCTGGGTCTCCTTGGTGCTAACTCTGCTTTTGGCCTGCTTCTGCAACGTTTCCTCCTCTTCTTTTCCACGCGCAGTCTGAGCTCGCTGGCAGCCCCGTGAGTCGCTGCTGGGAGGGCAGGGAGCAGGTAAGGCTGCAGACACGGGAGGCAGGCAGTGCCTCTGGGATTTGGCAGCTTCTCCAAACTTAAAAACTTGGAATAGCTGTGAATTTCCCCATAATTGCCCCTATTTCCCAGAACTGGGGCTGTTTCCCAAACCTCCTCCTCCAGCTGCCAGCAGTGATCACTGATACTTGCCTAACGATCACTTTTTTCCAGGAGAGGTGGTGCTGGCACCGGTCTGTTGCAGAAAAAAGAATGAAAATGGATTGTAGTCTATTAGTCATGTGTTAAAGTGGCTAAAATGATGTTGCCTCTTTTCTTCCTCCTGCTCCTCCTCCTCTTTGTGCCTCTGCCTTGCCCATTCTCCGCCACGCATGCTTCTGTGTTCAGATCCTGCCTCTCCTAAGAAATGCAGAGCTCGCTTTGGCCTCAACCAACAAACGGACTGGTGCGGCCCGTGCAGGTGTGTATTGGCATCTCCTTGCTGCTGGGGTGCTCCTGGGCGAGCGGGTTTGGCTCCATGTGTCCTCCTGCAGCCATCCCAGCGCCGACGGGGCTGCTGCGACCCCACGGGGATGGGGTTTTCTCTAGGCATCCTCAGGAGGTGTTGTCCGAGCTCCAAGGGTCAGGCTGCCCCCCGCGTTTCAACATTACACAGTGTTGGTGTGACGCTGTGCGTGTGCCTCAGCTGACAGACTTCCCTGGTGTTAAAAGCTTATTTCCAGGTGGAGACCTCTGTGACCCCAATGTGAGGCTTTCTTGCCCCACTGAAGATTTCCTATTGCATAAATAGCACCCTAGGGTCAGCAATGAGTAGTCAGTGGGTTTCTTTTTTCTGTTTATACTAGGGCTAATGATGTATTTTGAGTTCCATGTCTTCTTGACCCTGAAATTTTGCAGTACCCACCATGGGGTGGGAGAGCCTCACATAGTGAGCCAGTTTGGAAGTGCCCTGTGCCTCAGGCTTTGAGGGCATGGCCATGGCCAGGCAATAGCAAAGCTCAGTGCCTGAACCAAGCATTACTCGGCTCAGGGTCTGCAAGTGCAGCCAGGCAGGAAAAGCTCCTGGGGGGCTTCTGGACCTGGGCACCAAAGCACAGAGATCCTCCAGCCTGGACAGAGGTTTTCATAGCACTTTTTTACAGCAACGCGTCGAGGACTCTAGCAAAAGCTGGAAGCGTTGCTTAATGTGCTTGCATTTGCTTTTACATATGCTTTTAGCTTAAAGTGACTAAAATAAGTCTACCCAAATCTGAAGCCCAATGCGTAGCCCTGCAGAGTGCCAATAGTGCTTGGCCACTGCCCTCGTCCCAGCTCGGGTCCCTGAGGGGAGGTCCCCTCCCGCAGCCGCATCTGCGCCTCGGGGTGCTGGGCAGCAGCAGACCCCCCGCTCGCCTGATAGACACCACGTGAAGCCATCACACGCCGTGTAGATTAAGGATCTGGACAGAGCTCCCTTAGTGTCTCATTAATGCTTCATGAATGCCCAGAGAGGGATTTTTGTGTTACTCCCACAGCTACACCACCAAGCTGAAAGCCCCGCACGGCAGCGCAGGGCACGGCTGCAGCTCTGCGGGCAGTTCCTCCCCTTCCCTCTGAACTCTCCTAATTCAGCTTCTCTGCACTGCTTCCCCATTAACACAGGCTGCTGGAGTGCTCGCAGGTCTTGGTGTGCTGTGATTTTTTAACCTTTGCCTTTCAAGCCCTGGTTGACCACAGCTGCTCTGCAATTCCCCGTACTAACGTGCCACTGCTGGCTCCAGGGCCCCTGTCCTACGTGCTCTGGTTGCCTGCAGAAAGCAACTTCCACCAGAGGATTTCCACATCACTGGAGAGGTTAACTGGTTAAAACTGGGTGTTTCCTCCCCCCACACTCCGTGGTGCTGCAGTCCCTAAAGGGGAGGGATAAATCCCTGTAGCTGTGTAATAGCCCCATCAACCATAGCCCACTAACGGGTTCATTATTAGCAATCAGTAGTATCAGATCTGCTTTTTTCCCCCTGTTATTTTAAATCAGATGAGTGAGTCGATGGATAGATTTGTATCATCTTAAACAGGTCCTTGAAACACTCCATCTTGCAGCTTCTCCTGAGATGTCTGTGGGAAATACAGCTTCTCCCCCGGTTTGGCTGCTCTGGGAGCCAAACAGCCCAATAATAAAATAACCTCCGAGTTAAATATTCAGGACAGCAGGGCTGTCGTGTTTCATATCACATTAATTGGGTCACCGCAGCTAATGATGACACTAATAGTAATAGCAGTCCTCTTGTTCACATCCAGTGCAAAGTCATGTTTAATGCTGGACTAGTTAATACATATTCTAACAGTGTCTAGTTTTTCATTAGTAAGATCAAAGAAAGGTGTGAGTCCACATTAGCAAGTTCTCCATTTGATCTGTTTGCCTCAAATGAGGCACCCAAGGCAGGGAGCTGGGCAGGAGGAAAATGTTCTTTTGAGCTGTTTTAGCTGTAAAGTCATTAATGCCATCTCCAGCAGAGGAATTGTTCCCTCACTACTGTTAAGGTGACATCTTGAGAGCTTTTTTTGTTTATACTGAGATGCTGGAGGATCCATAGCAGGTGACACGGAGGATCTGTCATACAGCAGGAAAAGCAGCTCAACACCAAGTACACGGAGACAGCGGTGGCAGGGGCCGACTCTGGGTAGCCAGGAGTGGTTCAAGTGTCTGGGTGTACGAAATGACAGTGGGAACTCAGGCTGAATAGTCCTGGTTGGTAGTGAACAGCAGAATTGTCAAGGGATGAGGAGAAATCGTGCCCAAATCAAGGGTGATGTATGACTTCTGTGTTTGAGACCCCAGCTCATAACATACAAACGAGTGGGGAACCTGAATGTCTTCTCCAGGGGATGAGATAGGTGGCATTACTGTCTCTGGGACCTTCCCAAAAGTCCCTTTTTTACCAGGAAAGCAGGCCTGAGGGAGGAGAGTTGCCACCAATGGGGTGCTTTTCTGTAAAAAATCCTTCTTGTGAGTAAATCTTCCCCAGCTGATGAGCTCTATTTGTCACACTCCACAGAAAGGGAGCATGGAACAGCGTCTTTCACAGTTGCAGGCCCATTCAGGTCCTGAATCTTTCTCTCCCATATCCGTTGACATTGCATTTTGAACTTATACCTCTGCTTCCTACGGGAGGGATCACAGCAAACATTCCTGCCCGGGAAGGCCGTGGCTGAGGTGTCAGAGCTGTTTGTCCTTAGCTTAGACAGCAGTTTAAAAGATGATCTCCCCTCCCAAGACCAACAAAGTCTCCTGAACGCCTCAGGACTGCGCTAGCATCCGGAGCAGGACCCCAGCCAGCCTCAGACCACATCTTCCGAGGTCCTGGGCCGTTTTGTTCCCTCTGCCTGGATCTCTGTTGAGCACTTTCAGCGGTTGCTGAGCCAGGAATGGATGTGTTCTGAGATGCTGAGATCAGAGGCTTTTGCTGCAGAACGAAGAGCTGCGATGGTACATGGGGCACAAGTCGAGGAGAGTGCTAGGGAATGGGCCACAGGCAAAGATGCTCTTAAGACCTTAAGATTTTGGGCTGATTGACATTGCCTGAGGAGAAAACCGGAGCGGGGGGGTGGTGTCCTGGCAGCGCCTGACCCAGCACCCCTGGCCACCGCGATGGTCCCGCACCCTGCGTGGGCACAGCCCTGTGCTGGCCGGGCAGCTGCCTGCGCGGTGGCCCCATGCCGTGGTGTGGCAGCCGAGCACACGACACACACGTGTCCCATGTGTGCTGTGCGGGCAGGCCCGGGCTCACACACCGCGGGGAACGTTTCAGGCTTGAACACGGCTGCAAGCCCGTTCACCCCATTCAGCTCCCCCAGGAGGGGAGGAGCCCGGATGGCGGCGTTAGTCCTGAGCTGCTGAGAAATGACCTCCTCAGCTTGATTTTTATTATTTTGATTTGTAATGTTTTGATTTTTAAAAATTATTTTTATGACTTTTTGGGGTATTATTTTGGGCTTTATTACTGTTTTTTTATTTTAGCATTATTTTGATTACTTTTTTATTTTTAGTACTGATTGGATTTTTATTACTGGTTTTCATTTTTAGTATTATTTTGATTACTTTTTGTTTTATTATTTTTATTTTTATTACTGTTTTTTTATTTTTAGTATTATCTTGTTTACTATTTTTTAACTTTTAGCATTATTTTAATTTTTATTACCGCGTTTTGA